GGCTGGGGCGGGGGGCCAGCCGGCCAAAGCAGCAGGCGTTTTCTGGAGCAGAAAGGAGCTGCACCCCTTTTTATACGCTCCAGAGACTCTTCCAAGCAAAGGTGGAGCTTAGGATTTAAAGGGCCCACTCCCTTCCCATGACCCCCATCTGACTCTGGTCCCCCACAGAGATCTGGAAGGAGCTCATCCCTCCCCCCCTCCATCTCTGGTCCCTCCTCTGCCTCCAAGGTGTTCTGTGTCCTCTGAAAAGACCCTTCCATTCCCTGGCCTCAGTTTCCATACCTGCTCACTGAAGGTCTGTGCCTGCAGAGCCGTTTCTGGTAATAATAACAGCCCCTTCCTGTGAGCCAGACACTTTGCTGCCTGGCCTGATTTAATCCTTACGACAGCTCCACGAGGGAAACACAGTCATGGTCCCATTTGATTGATGAGTAACTGAAGCTCAGAGAAGGAAATTCATTGGCTTAGAGTCACACAGCATGCAAGCCATAGAACCGGGTATGTGGGACTCCAAGGCAAGTGCTCCTCCTACCTCATTTGGATCGAAACCTTCTTTTTCATGTCCTAAACTAAGAGCCAATTATTAAATGAATTTTTTTTTTTTTTGGTTGGAGTCTCACTCCATCACCCAGGCTGGAGTGCAGTGGCTCGCTCATGGCCACTGCAGCCTCGAGCTGCTGGGCTCAGGCGATCCTTCCACCTCCACCTTCCAAGTAACCGGAACTACAGGCATGCACCACCATGCCAGGCTAATTTTTAAAAATTTATTGTAGAGACGAGGTCTCGCCAAGTTGCCCAGGCTGGTCTTGAACCCTCAGGCTCAGGCAATCCAGTCACCTCGGCCTCCCAAAGTGTTGGGATTATAGGCTGAGCCATTGAGCTCGGCCTCTTCATGTTTTATAAACATGGACCCTCTGTCTCTCATAATCACTCAAGGAGGTGAGTACTATCCTACCCACTTAAGGAGGTAAGTACTGTCGTTTCCATTTTACAGAGGAAGACAGGAGGCTCAGAGAGGTTGAGCAATGTACTCAAGGTTACACAGCAGGGGAATGGCAGAATTGGGCTTCACACCCACCCTGGGAACCGGGAATTGACGTTAGAAGCAGCAGAGGACCTTGGCATGGGATAGTCTCACATAGAATATCCTCTCTTGGTGTTATCCGCTGTCCCAAACTCTTCTTGGCCTTTGTGACCCAACAAAAGCCTTGCCTCCAGCCCACCCCATCTCCAGGGATGGTTTCCATAGTGGTTTCCACTGGTCACCTTGGTAGTCAACACATAGTCACTGGGGTCCTGTGTTGGGTGCTGGAAATTCAGCAGTGATGAAAACTATCTTGTGTCTGCTTTATGGGCAATAAGTCCAGCGGGGGAGCAGCCAGCAAATGAGAAAACACTCGACTGCAAAGACCTGGTTATCTATGAGCAGGGTGTTCTGAGAATGGCCAGGCTGGGGGACATATTTTGGAAACTGAGACCACAAAGAAGAGTCTTCCAGGAAGAGGAATGAACACAAGATAGGGAGACCCTGAATTCAGTATGGGGGCAGCAAATGGGCTGGGGTGGCCAGAATGGAGTGATGTCTCCAAGTTGACACCAGCATGGTTTGCAGAAATCATCAGACTGTGCATCCCCTTTAGGACATGTGTTGTTTTTTGTTTTTTTTTTGAGTTGGAGTCTCACTTTGTCATCCAGGCTGGAGTGCAGTGGCACGCTCATGGCCACCCCAGCGTTGACCTGCTGTTCTCCAGCAATCCAGGTAGCTGGAACAACAGGTATGTGCTACCACGCTCGGCTAATTTTCATTTATTTATTTATTTATTAATTGATTGATTGATTGTAGAGACAGGATCTCACCAAGTTGCCTGGGCTGATCTTGAAGCCGCAGGCTCAGGCAATCTACTTGCCTCGGCCTCCCAAAGTGCTGGTATTACAGGCTGAGCCACCGAGCCTGGACAGGACATGTTTTGGAATTGAAGGGAGTGGCCTGGTGCAGTGGCTCATGCCTGTAATCCCTGCACTTTGGGAGGCTGAGGCGGGAGAATCACTTGAGGCCTGGGCAACATAGCGAGACCCCATCTCTAGGAAAAATAAAAAAATTAGCTTGGAGTGGTAGCATGCACTTGTAATCCCAGCTATTTGGGAGGCTGAGGCAGAAAGATTGCCTGAGCCCAGGAGGTGGAGGCTGTCATGAGCTATGATTATACCATAGCATTCCAATCTGGGCAACAAAGTGAGATCCCAACTCAAAAAAAGAAAAAGAAAAGAGTCGGAGAGGGCAATTTGAGTTTATCACAATGATTGTGGGTGTGGCTGGATTTAGCGGGCGGAGAATAGGAACAGCAGACAGCTCAGCAGTTTACACCAAGACCTGTCCTGGGCCCTACTTACCTTTCCAGTGTCTCACTGGATACCCATCTGGTAGAAGAACCCACATTATGATTATCCACATTCAGAACTTCAGTATGTTTTACATATAAACACTAAGTGCTTCTTGCATTAGTTTAAGATAACACTAACTTTTCTTGGAATGCAATCGCTGTGCTCTCATGACCCTTGAACTCTAGGTTTTTTGGAGAACTTTATCCAGTGATTCACCATTTCTGGAAGCCACAACACTCAAGGTAGTGCTGATTGTGGTGTTATCTGTCCTTAGACAACATAAAACATTTGTTCTTGTTTCATTCATTGTGAATCTACACAGAGAGGTTAGTGTCTTCTTTTTTTTTTTTTTTAAGTTGTAGTCTCACTCTGTCGCCCAGACTGGAGTGCAGTGGTTTGTTCATGGCCACTGCAGCCTCAGCCTGCTGGCCTAGGCGATCCTTCTGCCTCAGCCTTCCAAGTAACTGGAACTATAGGCACGCACTAACACACCTGACTAATTTTTTGATTTGTTGTAGAGACGAGGTCTCGCCAAGTCGCCCAGGCTGGTGACTGGACTCAAACCCCGGGACTCAGGCAATCCCCTAGCCTCTGCTTCCCAAAGTGCTGGGATTACAGGCTGAACCACCTTGCCTGGTGTTAGTGTCTTCTTGATGAGATATGTTCTGGATTGTCCATGCCTGAGCTTTTTTTTTTTTTTTTTTTGAGTTGGGATCTCACTTTGTTACCCAGGCTGAAGGACAGTGGCATGATCATGGCTCACTGCAGTCTCGACCTCCTGAGCTCTGGCGATCCTTCTGCCTCAGCCTCCTGAGCAGCTGGGACTACAGGCACACACCACCACTCCAGACTAATTTTTAAGATTTTTTTAGAGAAGGGGTTTCTAGCTGGTAGCGAAGTTGAGATCCCAGCCCGAGTCTGCTTGAATCCAAAGTCTTTGCCCCTAAACCACTGCCTTATATTGCCTCAGTAAATACTGGTCAGTGAATGAATGAATGAATGAATGTCAAGACTACAAATGGTCTTCCAGATCATCTAGTTCAATTCACTGCACCTTCTTGTTTTTCAGATATGAAAACTGAGACCCCAAGATGGGAGGGACCTGGGTTTCAGGTTTTAGGTTTCAGTCTCTCAAAGCCATGGTACTTAGTTCAAGGTCCCCAAATTCATGCACATACCAAACAGTTTCTGGAAACCAGATTTGACAAAGGACACTGTTGTCAGATGGTGGATATGAGGTTTTCTGCCAGCTCATGGTCTGAAGAGGTAAGTCAGACCCCTCCGTTCTTTAACGTGGGGGTCACTGAGTAGGACAGTGAGATGGCTTGAGCATAAAAGCCACCACAGGCTGAGTGCAGTGGCTCACGCCTGCAATCCCCAGCACTTTGGGAGGCCGAGGAGAGAGTATTTCTTGAGCCCAGGAGTTCGAGATCAGCCTGGGTAACATGGTGAGACCTCCACTCTACAAAAAAAAAAAAAAAAATTCATCTTGTGTGGTGGTGCATGCCTGTAGTCCCAGCTACTTGGGAGGCTGAGGTGGGAAGATCACCTGAGCCCAGGAGTTCAAGGCTGCCATGAGTTATGAGATCATCATGAGCATGACACTGCCCTCCAGCCTGGGCAGCAGAGTGAGACCCTGACTCAAACAAAAAACAAAAAATACCACAGTGTGGGGAGGAGGCAGCATTGTGGGCAAGTGCTCAGTAAATAGCTCCAGGTTCAAACCTGACTCTTCCACCTATTTTCTGAGTGGCTGCGGGCTGGTTACGTCACCTCCCCTAGCTTCAGTTTCCTCATCGTCAAGCAAGGATGTCAACACTTGCCCAGAGCACAGACGTCAATTGTGGTTGTAAAGCCCTGAGCATAGAGCCTGGCCCATGGGGTGTGCTCATTAAACACGTTAAATGTCAGCCATAGCCGGAAGTAGTGGCTCACACCTGTCATCCCAGCACTTTGGGAGGCAGAGGCGAAAGGATTGCCTGAGCCTAGGGGTTCCAGACCAGCCCGGCAACATGGCGAGACCTCAGCTCTACAATAAATCAAAAAATTACCCAGGTATGGTGGTGCACACCTGTATTTCCAGCTACTTGGAAGGCTGAGGTGGAAGGATCATCTGAACCAAGCATGTGGAGGCTGCAGTGGCTGTGAGTGTGCCACTGCACTCCAACCTGAGCAACAGTGTGAGACACCAACTCAAAAAACAAAAAACAAACAAACAAAAAAGTCCCATTTGAGGCCGGGCTCGGTGCCTCAGCCTGTAGTCCCAGCACTTTGGGAGGCCAAGGCGAGTGGATTGCCTGAGCCCGCGGGTTCGAGACCAGCCTGAGCAACTTGGCGAGACCTCGTCTCTACACTAAATACAAAA